AAGGACAAAGAAAGGTTTAACATGGGCAGAGGGGTGAGTGGCCCCCAGCCACATACACCGAGGCTGGTAGGTTCGAGCCCAGCCTGGGCCTGCTAGACAACAATGACAACTGCAACCAAAAAATAGCTGGGCCTTGTGGCGGGGGCCTGTAGTCCCGCTACATGGGAGGCGGAGGCAGGAGAATCACTTAAGCCCAAGAGTTTGAGGTTGCTGTGAACTATGATGCCACAGCACTCTACCCAGGGGGACATAGTGAGACCCTGTCTCAAAATAAATAAATACACAAATGAAAAAATGCTACAACCTCTCCTTCAGCTCCACACCTCAAGCAGATGACAGTGAGAGGAGATGGAACTTTGTGGCTACCCGTGTTCAGCGATGTTTCTCCCCCCATCCCTGCCTGCACAGTCAGCTCGCCCTTGAGTTACCTTGATGAGGGTGATCCCCAGCGCTTCCTTGGGCACTCTCCCGGTGATCTCGTCACAGATTCTGTGGATGAACTGGTGCGGAATGACAAACACCAGCAGGTCTGCATCCTGCACGGCCTCGCTGAGATTTGGGACAGCCACCTGCAACCACAAGGCAGAGGAAGCCTTTACTCCCACGCCAAAGGGTTTCATGCACAGACCACTTACTTATCAGATGCCTACTGTGTGCAGACTGACAACAAAGGCAAGTGTGGTGTTTGGTTTGCCTTTCTTATTCTTTATGGGAGTCTGAAGCCAGGACGGTCCTGCCAAGTGACTTACCGTGCTGTCCTCAGTTTTCTTGTCTGTAAAGGGCAGTCACAACAACACCGTGTGGGTTGCTGCTCTCCCGCCACCCTGCCCTGCCAAACCACTTTCTGTCTCCTCTGCCCTGCTCTGCTCCCCAGGAAGAGCTTTCCTGGGGTTAGATGGTATCTCAGGGTGGTTTTAATTGGTATTTCTCTAATAATTAGGGATGATGAGCATTTTTTCATATGTTTGTTAGCCATTCGTCTGTCTTCTTTAGAGAAGATTCTATTCATGTCTTTTGCCCATTGATATATGGGATTGTTGGCTTTTTTCATGTGGATTAATTTGAGTTCTCTATAGATCCTAGTTATCAAGCTCTTGTCTGATTCAAAATATGCAAATATCCTTTCCCATTGTGTAGGTTGTCTATTTGCTTTGGTTGTCTTCTTAGCTGTACAGAAGCTTTTTAGTTTAATTAAGTCCTATTTTTTTATTTTTGTTGTTGCCATTGCCATGGCAGTCTTCTTCATGAAATCTTTTCCCAGGCCAATATCTTCCAGTGTTTTTCCTATGCTTTCTTTGAGGATTTTTATTGTTTCATGCCTTAAATTTAAGTCCTTTATCTATCTTGAATCAATTTTTGTGAGTGGAGAAGGTGTGGGTCCAGTTTCAGTCTTTTACATGCGGATATCCAGTTCTCCTAGCACCATTTATTGAATAGGGAGCCTTTCCCCCAAGGTATGTTCTTGTTTGGTTTATCAAAGATTAGGTGGTTGTAAGATGTTAGTTTCATTTCCTGGTTTTCTATTCTATTCCAAATGTCTATGTCTCTATTTTTGTGCCAGTACCATGCTGTCTTGACCACTTGTAGTACAAGCCTTGTAGTACAGCCTAAAATCTGGTATGGTGATGCCCCCAGCTTTGTTTTTATTACTAAGAACTGTCTTAACTATACGGATTTTTTTCTGGTTTCACATAAAACGCAGAATCATTTTTTTCCAAATCTTGAAATTACGATGCTGGTATTTTAATAGGGACGGCACTGAATAGGTAGATTGCTTTGGGAAGTATAGATATTTTTAAAATGTTGATTCTTCCCAGCCATGAGCCTGGTATGTTCTTCCATTCGTTAATATCCTCTGCTATTTCCTTTCTTAGAATTTCATAATTTTCTTTATAGAGGTCCTTCACCTCCTGTTTGGTATATTCCTAGGTATTTCACTTTCTTTGAAGCTATGGTGAAGGGAGTTGTGTCCTTAAATAGCCTCCCATCTTGGCTGTTATTGGCGTATACAAAGGCAACTGACTTCTGGTTTTATATCCTGAGACATTACTGTCTTTTTTTGATGGCTTCAAGGAGTCTTGTGGTTGAGCCTTTGGGGTTCTCTGAGTATAAGATCATATCGTCAGCAAAGAGGGAGAGTTTGACCTCCTCTGCTCCCATGTAGATGCCCTTTATTTCCTTGTCTTGCCTAATTGTATTGGCTACAACTTCCAGCACCATGTTGAGGGAGGCGCTTTCTAAGGACTGTTTCCCCAGGCTCCCTTGGCTTCCAGGTGGTTTCCGCCCATGGGGGGGCTCTGTCGGGAGATCAAAGGGTGCAAGGAGAGGCAGGTCAGGGTATTTCCCAGCCTGCCCAGGCTGGCAGTGGCCCCGCCCAGCTTCATCCTACAGTTCCCCCTCCTGCCAGGCAACCCCTCTCTCAGGTCTCTCAAGCCCTACCGGGCTGGCTTGGTAACACATTTCTTCCCCTTGTCCTTTCCCAGGTAGCAACAGCTTCCTGCTGTGCTTATCTCTGAGCACTTCACCAACTCCTAAGCTCCCTTGACCCTGCCCCGGGGCATCTTTGTAAACGCTCCTTTGAGAGTATGGCTGTGAGGACTAAATGCTACAGAGCAGAGTCTGGCTGCTGGTGTGCACTCAGTACATGGCAGCTATGATGACCCGACCATTTCTTTCCTTGAGATAAGGACAAAGAAAGGTTTAACATGGGCAGAGGGGAGGGGATGTAGTGAGGACCTAGGGCACAGGGTCTCTAGCACAGACTGCCTGGTGCCTGCCACTCCCTGGCTGTTTTCCCTTCTTTCTCAGCATCAGAACCCCCAGTGTTGAGCCTGGCTCCTCAGGGGCAGGAAGGAAGGTCCCAGCCCCCTGTGCAGTGAGGTACACCTCGTGCCTCAGTTCTGACCCATGGAGCAGAAGTGCAGGTGCTGCTGGTGACTTCTGCGAAATGTCCTGGAAGATCTCGCTTCTTCCCTTGGCCAGAGGGAATGTGAAGAGATGGCTGGAGTTCAGATAGTGACCATGGACCATGAGACCATGAGGAAGAGACGTACGTACGCTGAGATGGCAGAACAGCAGGACAAAAGGCATCACTGACACCATGACGCTGCTGTACTAATCAGGAATGTCTTTCGCGTGAGAGAGAAAGCCACATTTACCTTGCGTATCTCACTGTAACTTTCAGGTTTCAGCCCAATGTATCTAAACCTAACTGTAATTGATATAATTCCCAGAAAGCATTCCTGGTTCTCAAAATGAAGAGCCTTGGATAAAAATTCTCTGAAGAAACTCTGTCACAGGAATATCATCTGGAATGGGCAAGCCCCTGAGGAAACGTGGTTTGGGGACTGTACGGAGACCCCCAGCCCCTAACCAAAATTCCTTCTCCCGCTTCTCTAACACCACAGAAGTGTAAGCTGCTCACTGGTCATCCAGCTAGTGACTGCATTTCCCAGCGGGCCCTCAGTTCCACATGGCTGCGGCTGAGCTCTCAGCACTGGAATGAGAGAACAGTGTGCACCACTATGTCTCAGAGCCCTTAGAACAGAGGGTTGCCTGCCTCCTCCACACCCTCTCACACAAGAAAAGAAAGCATGGGACCAAGAGTAATGGTGTGAAAAAACGTTGCCAGACCAAGGGAAATAAATCTCTTATTCTTTGTGTCACATTATTATGTCTCTAGCTACACCTTAGCCTATTACCTGGACTAATATATATGCTAAGAGTTACTCCCTCAGGCATGAATTCCCCTAGGAAATCTATCTGAAATTATTTCATTCCCTTATCCCTTCAGGAGGTGAGAAGGACTTCTATAATTTATTGCCCAGCCTCTATTCCCTTTCTTTCTACCAAAAATG